CATACGAGCAACCAACAGATACATGAAGAAAAGTTCAACATCACTAGTCATCAAGGAGATGCAAATCAAAACTACACTGAGATACTACCTAACTCCAGTCAGAATGGCCATTATCAATAAATCAAAAATAACAGATGCTGGAGAGGATGTGGTGAAGAGGGAATATTTCTACACTGCTGGTAGGAGTGTAAACTAGTACAGCCTCTGCGGAAATCAGTGTGGCAATTCCTAAAAGTTCTAAAAATTGACCTTCCATATGACCCCTCAATCTCCTTACTGGGAATATACCCTGAAGAACTCAAATCATCCTATAAAAAAGCCGGGCTCGGTGGCTCAGCCTGTAATCCCGCGCCTTTGGGAGGCTGAGGTGAGTGAATTGCCTGAGCCCGCGGGTTCGAGACCCGCCTGGGCAGTGAGACCTCATCTCTACAATAAATCAAAAAATCAGCTGGGTGTGGTGGCGCATGCCTGTAATTCCGGCTACTCGGAAGGCTGAGGCGGAAGGATCGCTGGAGCCCGGCAGGCCGAGGCTGCGGTGGCCGGGAGCGGCCACTGCACTCCAGTCTGGACGACAGAGTGAGACTCCAACTCAAAAAAAAAAAAAAAGGAAGAGCAAGTTTAGCTGGAAAGTCAGGTAATCCCAAACTAAACGGGAGGCTGAGGTGGGAGGATAGTTTAACACCAGGTTTTGGAGGCCAGCTTGGACCATACGGCCAGATTCCATCTATAAAAAAAGTTGATTTGAGAAAAACTTGGCTAGGCATGGTGGCTCATGCCTATAATCCCAGCACTTTAGGAGGCTGAGGTGAGAGGATTGCCTGAGCCCACAGGTTCAAGACCAGCCTGGGCAACTTTGTGAGACCTCATCTCTACAATAAATCAGAAAAATTAGCCAGGCATGCTGGTGTGTGCCTGTAATTCCAGCTACTTGGAAGACTTTAGTGGAAGGATCCCCTGAACCCAGAAGGTCGAGGCTGTGGTGGCCGGGACTGTGCCACTGTACTCCAGTCTGTGCAACAGAGTGAGACTCCAACCCCCCAAAAGAAGAAACTTGCCGGGCTCGGTGGCTCAGCCTGTAATCCCACGCCTTTGGGAGGCTGAGGTGAGTGGATTGCCTGAGCCCGTGGGTTCGAGACCCACCTGGGCAGCGAGACCCCATCTCTACAATAAATCAAAAATCAGCCGGGCGTGGTAGCACATGCCTGTAATTCCGGCTACTCGGAAGGCTGAGGTGGAAGGATGGCCAGAGCCCAGCAGGTCCAGGCTGCAGTGGCCGGGAACGGCCACTGCACTCCAGTCTGGGAGACAGAGTGAAACTCCAACTCAAAAAAAAATTTTTTTTAAAGAAATTAGACAGACATAGTGGCTTGGGCCTGTAGTCCCAGCTACTCAGGAGGCTGAGGTGGAAAGATCACTTGAACTGCATTCCAGCCTAGTGAGAAAGTGAACCCCGACTCGAAAAAACAAGAGTTTCTAGGTTAAATTGAAGTTTTAGTTTCCTGTATTTATTCCTTTTTACTGTTCCTGATATTTACTAACGGGGGAAATTCTGATCTGACAACACTATGAGCCATGTTCTAGGATTCCAGTTATTTCCCCGGAAACTTCTCAGAAATTTGAAGCATTCCTAAGCATATGAACAAACAGTGCCAATTCTCAACACCACCATTCATTCCCCTGCCTGTCGTATTTTCTCCTTGACCTGTTTTTTCACCCAAGGAAACTGCACTCCCCGGACCTCGGGATTGCAGTTGACTTAACCGCACGCCTCTTGCAAAGACCTAAGGCATCATTAAAACCCAAGGGCCAGCCGGGCTCGGTGGCTCAGCCTGTAATCCCACGCCTTTGGGAGGCTGAGGTGAGGGGATTGCCTGAGCCCGCGGGTTCGAGATCCGCCTGGGCAACTTGGCGAGACCTCATGCCTACAATAAATCAAAAAATCAGCCGGACGTGGCAGCGCATGCCTGTAATTCCGGCTACTCGGAAGGCTGAGGCGGAAGGATCGCCGGAGCCCAGCGGGTCGAGGCTGCGGTGGCCGGGAGCGGCCACTGCACTCCGGTCTGGGTGACAGAGTGAGACTCCAACTCAAAAAAAACCCAAAAAACCCAAGGGCTGCCGTTTGAGTTCCCAAACCCCTACGTAGCTTTGGGCTTACCTGAGTCAACCCGGGGCTTCTCTTCAGTGAGCATTTCTGAAGACTCTGAGATCAAGGTCGGGTTAAACTCTTGCGATGAGCCCATCAGTGGCATGGTCACAGCTTCAAAGTCCTCCTCCGTCTCTGGGTCCCAGCAGAAAGCCATGCTAGACTCTTCAATGGCTACAAGGCTGTAAAAAAGAACCCGAAAACCTCAACTCTAACAAACGGCGGTGAGCGAGCTGAACTGAAAATCTAGGCCCGGTTTCCTCTTAAACCCCAGATAAACCAATCTTCCAAGCTATTTGGATGTTAATGATCTGATGATGGAAGGATTACAGGATCCAAATGTTTTTAAAGGTGGGTGGCGTAGATTGAACTAATAGGAGAATTCTCCATCTGCATTACATTAAGATAATCATGTCCCATGTCGAATCTCCTGGAAAATTTATAAGACGCCTTGCTTTTGTGGTTCTATTCCCTAAGAGTGCCTTAAATATAAATTGAGATTTTTCCTCCCCAAACTCTACCCTGGAGATAGCTCCTGGGCTGTTAACTGGTTTAACTGTTCTAGGGAAGACAGGAACGGTGGGTTTCTCCCCAGATGCCTGTTAACTGCCAACTAAGTTAACTGAGAAAAGTTTCCCTGCCTGAATCATAAACCTTTGGGACCTACAAAGGGAAAGTAGAGGAAAAGTAAACAAATGTCAGCTTAATAATCACTTGCTATTTTACGGCCATGTATTCTTGATCTGTAATTTTAGTGTGTTTCCTAGACTATAAATTTAATATGATCTATCATTTCTGAGTAACTGAAATGAACTAAATTTATGAGTTGTTACTCCTTCACACAACAATGATACATGTCTTGAATTCTGGCAAAGCGCACCAGTGTCAACCACTGATCATCTACAGAGGGAGAAAAAGGCCTTAGCTGCTCCTCTTTTTCTTTCGTTTTTTTTTTTTTTTTTTTTTTTTGTTGGGGTTTTT